CTTTTTCCTTGCATGATTTGAAAGGTAGTGATTGTATTTTAAAAGGAACGTCTGACCTGCTTAGGACTTTCCTACCAGCTCAAAATTCAATGTTTTGAATATCAACTACAAGCTATTTCACGTAGCAGTTCCTTCTTTGAATGTTTATTGTATTTAGAGAAAAGAGAATGTGATGTTTAAGTGCAAAGAGCAGCTAACTGCAGCTCAGCAACAGGACCGCTTCAAGAACCAGCACTTTGGGCGTCAGGAGGCACTGCTGTTGAACCTCTCCGTAGCAAGCCATGCGCTAGCAAGGCTGGAGGCAAATTCAGGGGAAGATGTTCCTTTTGCTGCTCCTGATGTCAGGAGGTTGAGATTTATTGGCCCCATGTAAGGACACGGCATGAGCTCACCGATGCAGCATCTCGCTCAGCCTGTCCCTAGTGCACCCGAGGTAGCAGAGGCAGCACCCGAGTCACCTGCGGGGCCACCACCTCCTGCGGGGCTGCTCTGCCGGGTGTCACCATGGAGCTTGTGTGATCCCAGGAGGGTGGCAGGGTCCGGTGGCCCAGGGGGGATTGGACCCTACACAGCTCTGCGCCACGGCGCTGGTGGCGATGGGCAGTTCTGGTGCTTGCGGGATGTTGCTCTGCCTGGTGTTGATCAGCACCACGGACTGAAACACGCCCTGTGCTCTCGCTGCTGTCACTGCCTGATGTGCTTCTCATCCCCAGCTGGAATACCTTAGTAACCACGTGTTCTCTGTAACAGGTCCGGATCGAGGACGACATCGCAGTGACAGCCAGTGGAATGGAGCTGCTAACGTGCGTCCCGCGTACTGTTGAAGAAATAGAGGCTTTCATGGCAGAAGGCCAAAGCGGTGCCAAGTCATTTGACTGCCTCTCCAGCCAAAAGCAGTAAACTTCAGGATGATACTTACTGTCTCACACTAATCAGTCATCGTTCTGATTTAATGCTGCAGCATATAAAATAAAATGCATCCAATTCTTAATAGCAAGAGAGGCAGGCAGGCTATTAACTGGAATGATTCATTCATTAAAAATGAAGGTAGAAGACTTCAGCACTTGATATCCAGGTAACTCAAATGCTGTTGCTTGCAATCAGCAGTTTACGTTACCATGTGCCACTTGAGTAACCCTGCTGCATTATCAGTGGGGCTTACACTTCTGTCAAATCTCAACTCAGACATATCTTGCAATTAAATCTGAATTTTGATGATTGGCACTCTCTAAAATACCAAACGGATTATCTGAATGCTGTCAGCAATTGTAACAATCTAAGTCCTTTTTTTAAACTTCATCACAAGTACTGCACAAAACATAGAAGAAAAATCAGGTGTTCTCGGTGGACATAATGACACTTATATTTTTCTTACGGATCTTATTTCAGTGTCAATGGAGTAAGCAGAATCAAATTTTTATTAAAATTCATCCTTGGCATCACTTCCACTCACAACTTTGTCATCATTATGCTCTTCTGCTCCCGTTCCTGCTTCTTTATCTGACCTTTCTACCAATTTGTGCTCTGGAAACTTTGACCCTTCATTAGCCAGATTTTTCTGCTGTGGGTAGTGGGTATACTGACCCTTCACACACAGCCCAGTGCTTATTAGGTTTGTCCATCTATTTGTTCCTTAAAAACATAGACTGCTGTGGTGTTCGCAAGCCTTAGAAATTGCAAGAAGGGGGAATCTTTGCTGCAGGGCTCAGGGTCATTCAGCAGCATATGCTGTGCAGAATGACAGAGTTATTTTTAACTGTCCAGTGTTAGCTGGTTCAGAATTAAATCATGTAAATTTTATTTGGATACACCACAAACATATTAATAATTATCATAAAAATTATTTTCCATTCATACAGGATTTAAATTACCCAGAGAAGCCTTTCTTTACTGTAGGTGTTCATCAGCCTGCAGGAGAATAAATACGTTTCTTGCATCATAAAATAGCAGTAGTTGCTGTAACTACATAAAAATAATCTTGCTCCCTTTATGAACACATCAAAACTGTTCGGTCTTCAGGCTCTGTTGCACACTTTGGCTGCAAAGGCACTTCAGAACATCACTCTGCTGTGTCAGGGGGAACCAAAGTCACAGCAGGGTGTCAGGGCCTTTCTGGGTCTTACCACTTGCCAGATGAGGATTTTCCTACTATGAAGGGATCAGCTGACTTGATGATCTCAGCATCTCAGTTCTGTTGCTCACATCCTGGGGCTGGCACACAGGCAATGGGACCAACTGTGAGCTTCTGGGTGCCTGCAAGTGCCTGTCTTACATGGGGCGTACAACACAACATGAGCCTGGATAGTGTCAAAAACTACTAGTGTTGCTGTCTTCGTGCCCCCACCCAGGACTGGATTTAGGTCGGAAATAATTTCCTTAAAAATTGTCAAATGTGCTGCTCTACAGAGAGCTCTTTTTGCTAATTGGGCTGATCTGTGTGACGAGAACCTGTTCTTTATTCGTAACAGCTCGGTGAATATTGCTAAATAGGAAACTGCATGTTGGAGACTAAAGAAACACATTGTGAAATAATCCAGGGGACTTTGCTCCTTATGTTTAATGTAATGTCGCTTCATTAACAAATGAGCCTACTTACATTTTTTTAAAGGTTGCTCGACATTGGATTGTAAGAGGTAAGTGCAGGAGGTCTGAACTGGGAAGGGGAAGGGGCAAGGAGGGGAGGGTGTGAGATCAACAGCTTGGATGTGCAACTGGGCTGATGCTTCTTTCTGTGGTGACTGTAAGTCTCGTACCTCTGAAATGCAGTACTTATGCAGAGGGCATCAGGCTTTGCTTTGGTAGCTTTGCAGACAAGAGAACATAGAAACTACACTGGCACTGCTCTGGACTCATCTCCTCTTAAAACTCAGGAGGTTTTTTCAGTGCAAGATGGTGCTCGTGGCCTCAGCCTTGTTCCCTCCACATCCAAGTGCTTTCCTGTGGCATGCTCTGAACACACCCATGGGATCGCTCACTGCTTTGGGCACTCTGAAACCTGCTGCTACTTGGGTTCAATAGCAGCTACTATTTGAAAGTAACACTTCACAGATTTTCAAAAAAAGAGTTTGGAATTGTTTCAACTAAGCCGTAACCCCAGTCTAGTTAATAGGCCTTTCCCTGCCTGTGATTAATCTTGGCAAATATTGAGCTCTGCTGCTGTAGAACAGGTCGAGCAATCTGGCGGGCTGCAGGAGGCAGAACTGGTTCTGCTTTGACATGTACCAGCAAACAAACCCTACCACAAGTTCTGGGGGGAAAGCACTCGCTCACGTAACTGGCTTCTCTGGTGTTTTGCTTGCCCAAGACATGGATGCGTTTTGGTCTGGGATGGTGCACCATCTCCCATTTTCCTTCATAATCAGGCCCATGAACTTGGTGAATATAAATTTCATTCTTCCTTCCAGAAGTCTGTTCTGTAATTATGGTAATTTTTATCCACTTAAGCCAAAAGTGAATTAGAACTTTTTTCTAAATTAGCGGGGGCGGGGGGGGGGGGGTAAGCCTCTAAACAAAGACAAAGTGGCATTTAATACACTTAAAATGTTATTAGTGGGGGGAAAATACAGGTCATGACAAACTTTCTTTTTGACTACATTAGGATATTTTAGGTTGTTATGTTTTCCTAAATGCCTTTTCCCCTTGGTACAGACTCGAATAAAGTGGCACCAAAATAACAGAAAGAGTGTGTTATGTTGAGTAAGTTTGCATGTTTAGAAAGGTCTGAGCACTTCTGAACTGATATTTAAATTGCTTCAGCTCCCTAGGGTTGGATGCACTCTGGATTTATCTGCCACGCCAATTATGCTGCTGCAGCTACAGGGTATAGTTAAAGTGGTAGAGCCTCCTAGTGCTCATGGAGGCTAGAGTAGACCTGTTCTTTTAGTGGTACAGTGAGAAAATAGGAGTAAGGTTTCCTGGTGAAACATACAGTGCCGCAATGCTCCTTCTTGTAGTGATGGGCACTGTAGTTGTTGTTAAGAAAAACATGTCAAAAGGAAAACCTTAACTTTTATAGGCCTACACTGAAAGTTTCTTGCGTAGATATGCATTTATTCCAGCCTTTCTTTAGGAAGGAGAGAATCATCCAAGTCACCTAGGTATGGGTGTTCCCCTGTGCCTTGCAGCACAGGGGTAAGATTGAGGCATTTTGCTGTCATACAGCCTGGGCTGCTCCACCTTCGCGCAAAGAGAGGGAAAGCCTCACCTCAGCCTTTGCTCCTCAGGGGTCTGAGACAGCTATTTTGGCAGGAGGGGGCTTAGAATAATAGACTAACACCTTTCTTGCAACCTAACTCTGAGGGTAGATTTAAAATAACAATTTGTTATAATCTTGGGTCCATGGCTTCACATATTCAAGTGATGTGCTGCACACAGCCTACACGCTTCCCTAGGCAAACAAAACAAGCATGGAGACTGCTAAGCCAGAAATGTCATTGTGCAAACAAATGACTTTTCATAACTCAGTGGTTTTATTTTAAACAAGAAGGAAGTGGAATTGGAGCTGTCAGGAGTAACAGGTGAAGTCACCTTCCAGAGCATCAGAAAGAATATTACCCCCAAAGAGATTTAAGAATTTTCACCAAAATCAGAAGCAAATACCAGAGGTTTGGAGCCCCTGTTATGGTTACTAGGGGAGGACTCCACATCAGCCTGTCAAACCAACTGCAGGACAACAGGGCCACCTAGTCCCAGTTCACAGAGCAGACAGCGAGGGAAGAGATTAGCTCCTACCTTTTGCATCAGAGTAGGTGCACAGTTAACAAATGAGATGCTTTCAGGTCATCTTTTTCCCTTGTAGTTTTTGGTGTTCTGTTCCTTCCCCTTAAATCAGGAAATAAGCCAAAACTGTAATGAGTTTCTGATTCTTTCCATTGAGTAAAAACCTGAGCAGAAGACAGGAATGGAGATTGTTGCACTGATTTCTCAAAGACAGCTGCTTGTGGTGGGCACCTCTACATTTGAGGGAAATAGAAAAGAGACAGGAAAAATGAGGCCAGCACTAGAAGCAAAAGGTTTTTATTAGCTTCTGATATTTCAACCCTACCTACTTAAGCTGCAGCTAGAACCAAAAACCGTATCTTTGTAAAAAGACTACCAGAATCCAAAACAATCCATGAAAGTTTTTCACGTGTATTAAAAGTTTAAATTCAAAAAGAACTCTTTAAGGTTTCATTTTCTAACAGCATCTTCATAGAGATAATATCCAAGTTCTCTTCCTAAGTACAGATACAAGGCAAACAAGCATCCTACAAAATAATCTATGGAAAAAAGTAGTTTAGGAGGGAAATCAAGACAAGTGTAATAATCCACTAGCCAGACACACAGGTTAAATGTAACACAACCATACCATCAATGAAATATTTAAAAATGAAAATAAATTAAGGTTACATCAAAGTTCCTGCTTTACTTTTATTGTTTAAATCCTCAGTATAGTACATACCGCTGCGTAATGGATCATGGCAAAGACTTAGCACTAGCATTAAAAAAGTTGCTATAGAAAAACTTTTATGAAAATAAAATAAGACTGAGGATACTCCTTCACACAACTGTATGATGACTATAGAAATTTCACTGAATCAGTTATTCAAACTAGGGCCATTTGTCCTTAAAAGAGCTGTGAACTTCTGTAAGATCTGGGCTGCAAATCTGAACAGCCATGAAAATGGAGATAAAAGTCAACGAGCAGTGATCCATACATTCTGGCTGAACAGATGCCATCTTACCCCTTTCATTGCTTAGCCAAGCTGCACATCTTGTTCTCCCCAATACCTGCACCCCAGCAAGAATGCAATTTTGCAGAGCACATTTTTTTTGGTAGCATTTTGACATTTTCTGAAAACCAAAATCTTGTTCTCATAAGGCCCCAGTCACTATGTGAACACAGGCTTAAAAGGCTTTGTCAGTGTGCTGCTTTACCTCTTGTACATGGTGCTTCAGACTCATTTGGAAGCCAACTACCATATCATCATAGTATATTGCTATTTTTCTAGAAAACATCAGTAAGCATCCCAGCTCACTATTACTACGCCCTCCTTATTAACTGTTAACTGGACAGTAAAGACCTAAGTGGTGCTTTATAGGACTTGCTCTACAGATTTAAAGTAGTCCACCAAACAGGAAAGCAAACACCCTCCATGGCCTTTGCAGTTTTGTAATATGTAACAGAGCAAACGAAGGACTTAAATACACTAAAAGGTATTTAAAAGACATTTTATCCAATTACAAGTTTCTGATACTACAGTAAACCATCCTGCTGGATCCCTCCCATTATGCAAACTGTAAGAAGGTAAGTGAACATTCCTGTGAAAATGCTATTTCCCTAATACTGAGCTCCTTGTTGACTATGAATTTAGGTCTGCATTTATTAGATAAATCTTTTAGAGGAGAAAAATATTTAAAACAAATACCCTAATCAGTTTCTGGTTTAATTGTATCAAATCTTCAGTGTTAAACCTAAAAAGAAGAAAATCTCCACAAAATGATGGTTAAAAGAAGAAAATCTTGACAAAATGATGGTTAAAAGAACAGTGTTTTTGCTTGGTTACTGCATGGGCGTTGCAGACAAGCTGCACCTCCAGAGTTCATTTCGTAAGGTTGCAACAATGTCTACTGTCCATTGTTTTCTGGATTTGTTGTGGTGGTTTCAGTGCCAACAGGTTGCACATTGTCTGCAAGATTGTGTGCGTGCTCAAGGAACAGGTCTTTCAGTACGCTCAGCTCCTTGGTCAGGAGCTTAATTTTTGCCTCTAAACGTTCATTTTCTTCTTTGAGCTGGTTGACCCTTTGCAGCGTGTCTTGTGCTTTCTGCTTGCTTTTTAACCGGCTCTTTTTCACTGCCATGTTGTTTCGCTCTCTGCGCTGACGATACTCATCGCTGTTTCTATCCACAAAGGAATTTTTCTTTCCCTGTTTGCTCGGAGGCACAGCTTTGCCTCCGCCACCAGGACTAACGGGCACCAGCTGGGGAACCTGCTGCAAACCACTCGTGTGTGCTTGGGTGTGAATCACGCTTACTCCGTTCGCATCTGTAGCGGTGTTCTGTTGGGATGTCTTGCTCATTTGGACAGGCTCTTCTTGGACACAACAGAATTTATTAGGAGACTGAAAACTGTTGTGTTTCTAGGTGTTTCCAACAGGTCTTCACATGGATTAAGGGCAAGGTGAACCTAGCAGGGAAAAAAAATGCTATTAAAGGTGCTAGCTTTAGCTACAATCTTACACATCACTGACTTTAGCATAAGGTACTGATGGTACATCTGGCAGTAACACATCACAACTGTGCTGGAAGTGGACAGGCTGCCAACTACATTTCAGAAGCCTCTCGAACGTATTTGGATTGGAAGGGATTGTTACTGGGTCATCTAGTCAAGCTGTTTGCATTGTTCACTGGCTTTACTCAGTTATTCCAAAGCCATCCCTGATGGATGGGTGTCTAGCCTAGCCTCGAATATCTCCAGTTTCACAACCTCTGTCTTGGCAACAGGTTCCACTGTCTAACTTTTCCTCTAGTTATATAATTTTCTTAATTTTCAGACTGGAGTTTTCCTTCTGCAGCTTAAACCTATTAACAGCCTGACTCTTGACCAACAGGAGTACTTGATCCTTGTCCTCTTCAGACCATCCCTCTGGGTGTACGCACAGACAAATTACTCCCTGGTCTCTTTTCTCTGGAGTGAGGGTGCTTAGACTGTCCACCCTTCCTTGATCATCTTACAGCACTTGAAGGTGATGTCCAAACTGATGACTGTTTTAAGGTCTCACTAGTACCGAGTGGAAAAAAAAAAATCTATGGAAAAAGGTAGTGTGCTCTGAAGGCTGCGACTGAGTGACATTAAAGGAACCCCTTCAACCACAAGCAAGGTAAGACAAGCTAAGCCTGTGACAGTACTGTAAGGAGCAGGTGGGACAGGAACACAGGGTGATGGCAATGTGAGAATCACTACCCGGCAAAGACAGGGGAGTGTTGCCACCCATAGGAAGACAGCAGCCACAGCTGACTTGTCCGCAAAATACGTTCCCCTGCTGTAGCTCCTGCACTGGTCATTGTTCACTCTCCTTTCCAGCCCACAAACAAGCAGGACACCCTCTCACCTGACTCACGTTGCCCTGCTGCTGAGGTCAGCCTGCTCCTGACCCTACTGGTGGCACAAGGAGGACTCCACCACAGCTGCTGCAGGCACACAGCCCCAGCAAGGCTAACAGCTGCTCCCCTTCTCGTCCCATCTCATGGGATGACCTCCTAAACGTCTGGGAGAGAAGTTTGGGAGAGAAGAGGGGAAGGGCAACAGGGTTGTTTTAAGTGCCTGAAACGCCTACCTACGGCTCCAATGAAAAGTACTCAGTGATCAGTCAAGCGAGTGTTTTTTTCTTGTCATGTTAAAGAAAAGTATCTAACTGGCATAAAACAATCCTACTCCAAGACCAGATTGCATTGCATGCATACATGCAGTATCACACAACTAGTGTTCAACATCCTCCTTGCCCATCCTCAAGGGAACCTGCTGGGAAAGCAAGTAGCTGAAGTTAGCGGTGGGCAAGGCTAACCACCCAGTATCGGCAGTGTCCCACCCAGGGATTACGTCTTGCATCAGTAACAGCACAAGAGATGGATGACTGTACTCCTGTGTCTAGCTGATGAATGGATGTGGTGAGATGTTTGTAAATGAGCTGCTGTGTGTCACTGGTCGTTCTAAACTCACGGGTTCATCAGCTGTTTACTGTTCTTGTGTGCTGGTTTTTCTCAGCAGTCTGAGTTGCTGTTTTACCTTCTGCTGGGGTATCATTAAAAAGGTTACAATTCTACTGTCTAGATCAATAGCAAATTTTCTTCCATAATGAGGGAGCCAGAACAGAGTGTGGTTCAGTAAAATTCATGGAAAAGCCTAGTAAGTTTGGCTCGAATGTTATTCAAAATTAACATTCTCTGTCACTGAGAAGTCATCTCACTTAAAACAAGTGAAGATGTGAGTACACCCACACCCCTCCTATCAAGAAATCTTTTCATTTTCATATTTCAGGGCAGAAAGAAACCATCAACTCTTTTTGAAATCTGTACAGCTAAATCTATATACATATATGCCTAACCTTTGTATTTAGTATTCTCCCGATTTTAACTCTTAAAGCAACTTTTGCAAACCACATTTAAGTCTTAGATTCTGACTGAATAAGCAATTTGGTTCAGCAGTTAAACTGCATATACAGCTAACAAGATGTCGCTGTGCACAAATGCCAGACTGGCAGGGCCAGTTGTAATAGCTGTGCACGTATGATTGCACTGACATTTTTAGTCAAGATGCAAGTGTATGCGCCTCTTGGAGCATATACTGGCTTTGTCTCAGCTTTATTTTTAAATACAGGATTTCTGTAGCTCTCAAAGACTATATAGCTCTGTTTGTTAGATCGCCTCCGACAACTGATTTTTTCCACTGATTTTTGGCATCTTTTCAAAGTCAGACAGAATGCTTTCCTGTCCCCTCTATTTCAACATATTACAGTGCTTGCTAACTTCATCTGGACATCCCAGTTAAGTAACCCATACCATTTTCACGATCTGCTTTTTGTGCTTCATGAGGTACTACAGAGGAAGGGGTGGCTCCTGCCCCTGAAGGCAGCCCACCCGACCTGTAACACATTTCTTCACATCACCAGGTTCCATGTGCTATTTCTCTCCATGCTATCGAACCTATTTAATATTGCTTTAACATTCCCTTCAGATCTCTATCAAATTCCCCCATAATTCAAAGGAAAAATTGTTCCATTAAACCCCATTTTAATGGAATATTTTAGTTGGGCAGTACATGGATATCAGCAAAGATGAACCAGTGTCACACCTCTCGAGCAAGAACAAGTCTTCCTCAATTCCTTCCCACTGGAAACGATCCATTTTGTATCAAATAACTATTTCTTGAGTGAGTCACACTCTTACCTGGCCTGATGATCTGAACCCTTACGTGGGAGAAATGACACCTGAATTTCTGTCCTGCTCCAACTAATTTATTATGCAAAGCAAGTAGCACTAACTGTCCTGTATCACAGATAACCCAGGAGTGGTAATTGTTGAGGCTTGAAACTGATTTTCCCCCCTAGTTATTTGGAGGCTGGATCCCTATTACCAATTGTTAGTTCTTCAACAGAACAACGAGAGGGAAGGATATCCTGGATAGCAACAGGTGCCCTGGGGCATCCTTCAGGGAATACTGCAAGGAGATTTAAAGGCAGCAGCTATGAGACATACGGAAGGGGGTCTCAAGAAGGGTGAGGTAAAGGACACAGTAATCGGGAAAGGCCACAAGGGTGGGGAGGTAGATGGGTCTCAGAGTTCGTTTCTCAGACACTGTGCCACACAAACACAACGGCTCCTCTCCACAAACAGGTTGGTTTCCTGTGAATGGATGATATCCCCGGCACAGCAGGAGGCAGCTCCTCGGAGAGCCAGCCGAGTTTCTGAGCATCTTGTTCCCATAAAGCTGCTCATTAGCCCTAGGCTGGTTCCACCCAGCACATGGTAGTGTTTCCAGTGGCCAGTTAGAACTGCCCTGTTCTCTCCTTGGGCCACCAACTGACCACCCACTACAGCATAATAGCTGGTAACTCAGAGGTGTCTTCTCAGGCAGAGAGATGTCTCTTACTGTCTGACAGCACTCCTCAGGGACCACAAAGACTCCCAAGCAAATCAAGGCCTTTATTATCTTTGCTTTCACCAAAAAAAAAAAAAATTCAAAAAATTAAACCTCCAAATGTTTGTTTTGGGGGAAAAAAAAAAGTGTTTTAATTTGCTAATTAAATCAGTATTTTTTTTACTTAGCAGCAAAAAAAACAAAGCGCTTCTCTCTGCTCCTTTTCTGAGATGTGACTGTGTTGATTCTAATCATTAGTCAAGATGACTTTATTGCACAAATTCACTCAGCTATCTTGTCTAATGCAAAATCGGTCCCAATCTGAGCAGCAATGGGTGGCCTCCCTGCTCTTTGACTTCAGTAGCAATACCCCAGTCGGATCTGACCCTAAATCCAGATGAGCCTGTACAAAGCATGACAGCACAGAACTCCAGGCATACGTTTGCTGAACACTGGGAGGGCCCGCTCCTGCGTGGTTTTCTGCACACTCTCACAGGCAAGTTAGCAAGAGCTGATGGTAACTCTCACATACCGAAGGCTCGGCAACCACTTTTGTGAGACTAGGTAGCTCAAACCTATCATCAGTTGCCACAGCTGACAACATCACTTTCCCGTCTTTTTCTCAGAATCCCCAATTTTTCCATACACCTTACAAGAAAAACGCACTCCAACATCTTCATAAATGGACTCCAACATCCTTAAAAAAATGTGCTCCTAACATCTAAAGTACGTATTTTAATTGCAGGCTAGCAGCGTTGACGACAGAACTGCAAACAATCCCAGATGCCAGGAGGCAAGAGGTATCAATTTGACTCTGTCTTTCGAATTATAATGAAGGTAGCTACTTCTAAAGATGAACTAATTCCTTAAATCCAGAAGTTATTCAAATTAAGAATTTTTATACTTTCTGAAGAGGCGCTACAAGCAGCATGGCACGGTTACTGAGGGGAGTATTGAGTTGTCCTAATGACTGCTATTTCCCACCAGATGTCAGAGCTAAGACCAACATCGAGCTTTCTGCGACAGACCCGTTTTGAAAGTTGCGTCTGGAGCTGTAAAAATCTGTCGGGAACCAGAAAAGATTTGCCAAGACATTCAAAACTCCGCTGAGAAGCTACAAAAGAAGAATGCCGCCTGTTAGAGCACGGCATTTTGTCGCGGTTGGGGGCAGCTCCCGGGACCCCCGCGGCCCGGCGCGCTCCCGGGAGCGGGCGAACGGCGCCGGCGGGGCCCCAAGCCCGGCGCGGGGACCTCTCCCTCGGCCGGGCGCCCTCCT